TTGGGACAGAAATGGGTGAAACTTTTCAGGTTATGTGTTCAGATGGGTTGTCCCTGTTGGATTTCTGTATACTATTGGGTTGGCTTTAACGTTCCGGTTGATGATACTGAATGTAAAATAAATCACAGGTCAGATATTCTACTTGATGTATAAAAAAGAGTTCCTGTCACTTCCTGTCAGGAGAAGTCCTAACTTGGGAAACTGAAAGTTAATTTATGTAAGCATTCTGCAACTTTGTAGCTTTATCAAAGATAAAATGTATCAGGTTGTTACAATATTATATCCTAACCGAAGGCCCAAGTGTCAATTTTTCACTGACGTATTACTAACACATTCAAAGATTACAAAACAACAACAACAACAACAACAACACATGAATAAATCACGTTCTGTAAAAGGTTCATGTTGCCTGTGATTATGTTCCAGCCTGTCAGATTCTGCAGTGTCAGGAGTGAAGCAAATCTGTCTGAATATTGTCTCCAGAAGAGCCTAAAGTAGTCTGATACAATACTCAGGCAGGCTGTAGCATAAACATAATCACTGCTTGAGCTCAGAACAATAATAAGAATATAACTTATATTCTCAAGTGTTATGTTCATAACATACACTACATTGCACAAAGTATTTGCTCACCCATCCAAATGATCGGAATCAGGCGTTTCAATCACTTCCATGGCCACAGGTGTATAAAATGAAGCACCTAGGCATGCAGACTGTTTTTACAAACATTTGTGAAAGAATGGGTCGCTCTCGGGAGCTCAGTGAATTCCAATGTGGAACTGGTAGGATGCCACCTCTGCAACAAATCCAGTCGTGAAATTTCCTCACTCCTAAATATTCCACAGTCATCTGTCAGCTGTATTGTAAGAAAATGGAAGTGTTTGGGAATGACAGCAACTCAGCCATGAAGAGGTAGGTCACGTAAACTGACGGACGGGGTCAGTGGAAGCTGAAGAGCAAAGTGCGAAGAGGTCGCCAACTTTCTGCAGAGTCGATCACTACAGACCTCCAAACTTCATGTGGCCTTCAGATTAGCTCAGGAACAGTGCGCAGAGAGCTTCATGGAATGGGTTTCCATGGTCGAGCAGCTGCATCCAAGCCATACATCACCAAGTGCAATGCAAAGCGTCTGATGCAGTGGTGTAAAGTACGCCGCCTCTGGACTGTAGAGCAGTGGAGGAGCGTTCTCTGGAGTGACGAATCACGCCTCTCCATCTGGCAATCTGATGGACGAGTCTGGGTTTGGCAGTCGCCAGGAGAACAGTACTTGTCTGACTGCATTGTGCCAAGTGTCAAGTTTGGTGGAGGGGGATTAAGGTGTGGGGTTGTTTTTCAGGAGCTGGACTTGGCCCCTTAGTTCCAGTTCAAGGAACTCTGACTGCTTCAGCATACCAAGACATTTTGAACAATTCCATGCTCCCAACTTTGTGGGAACAGTTTGGAGCTGACCACTTCCTCTTCCAACATGACTGTGCACCAGTGCACAAAGCAAGGCCCATAAAGACATGGATGGCAGAGTCTGGTGTAGATGAACTTGACTGGCCTGCACAGAGTCTTGACCTCAACCCGATAGAACACCTTTGGGATGAATTAGAGCAGAGACTGAGAGCCAGGCCTTCTCGTCCAACATCAGCATGTGACCTCACAAACGCTTCTGGAAGAATGGTCAAAAATCCCCATAAACACACTCCTGAACCTGTGGACAGCCTTCCCAGAAGAGTTGAAGCTGTTCTAGCTGCAAAGGGTGGACCAACATCATATTGAACCCTATGGATTAGGAATGGGATGTCACTTAAGCTCATATGTGAGTCAAGGCAGGTGAGCAAATACTTTTGGCAATGTAGTGTATATACTTTTAGTATGAAGTTAAAGGGATAGCCTGAATATGTTTGAAGTGATGTTCTACCAAGTTGCCATCAGTAGATTATACCTTATCAGTGGTGACACCAATCATAGAGTACAAAGTATGAAGACAAAAGCAGAAGTATTTATTCTGGCTATGCTAATGGCTAACCAAACTAGGGCTTGTTATAGGCTTATATGACAACTACCATAAAAAAACATGTCTATGTAAAAATACACATCTGCTACATTAGCTAATGTTGAACATTCATATTTTTGCCTGACTGTTGTTTGTTGCTGTCTCAAACAAAGCCAGAATTGCAGATGTATATGACAATTAAAAAAAAAAAAAAAGTGTGCACCTTGTATAGCTAGCCTGTATCCTAGATAAAGATTTTTACCCTTATTCCATACTCAAAATGAATGATGTCATGGCTCATAAGACTGATAACTCTTTGACAGAACAATACTTCAAAAATGACCAGTCCATTTAAGCATATGACATTACATAAAAAAAACAAGCTACCAACTTGTCAAGGCACAGCTTTCCCACAGCAGAAATGTCTTGTACTTGCCACTCTGTCTTGATCCCTGCTTGAACATAGACAATCTTACATCTGCCACAGTAGTACTATAACGTCCCCCACCCCCAGTGCCCCAGGTTCTGGTCTGAGCCTCCCTGGAAAAAAACAAGGCATTACAAGTGCTGCCTCAGAACACATTTTCTCAGTACATGTACATACTGTACATCAGCTTCTACCCTGAAGCTGTTAGACTCATAAATCCCTAAAATACCAATTTAATTGCTCAACATGCTGCTGATTTCTTACTGCTGTATCCATATCCATCTGCTCCCAACAGACTCATGTTCAGGCAGCAGTTTAATACACCATATAATATTACCTTAGCATCCTTGTATAGTTTCTTTTTTATACTTTTGCTATTTTTGGGTGTAACTTGGGACATTGAATACACAACTTTGTTCCACCTCATATACCACATGTGATGTGAATGACAATAGTCATCTTGATCCTTGACGGGTGGTGAGGCTGAGTTCTTCCCCTGGTCACTGTACACAGCCTTATGTCTTATCTTGAAAGAAGGTTGCATCACATGAGAAACCATCCATCCATTCACTATATTTACCACGCTTCTTCCTTATAGCTTTGCTTGCTAAAAACACTTCATGTAGTGTAGCATTATGTGAATACATGGGTTTTTGTGTGAATAAACAACCTTAACAATGAAGTGCAACAGCTGTTATAAAATTGGAAACATATCAAGTTACTGTATCAGATTTTAAATTTTTTTTTAATAACACACTGAACAGCTTATTCCACGTAATGGTGTTGAATGATTTGATAATAAACACACTTAAGAGACAAAGCCGTGTAGTCATTTTGCTTTTTATTTATTTATTACCTAAAAAAAGAAAAAATGTTCTATCACAAGACACACTGAAATGTATTGCTTAAGAAAAAAAATATATTCATATATTTTTTCCTTTTTTCTTTTCCATTTTTTTTTTTTTTTTTTAGTTTTTGGAAACATGTTTGGCTTCCGTTATATTCCACCAAAAAATCAAACCAAACAAACAAACAAAAAAAGTTTGTTTTCCGACACGAGCATAAGCTGCAGCCGTGTCCGACAACCTCCTCACGTTTTTTTTATTTTTTTTTTAATTACCAAAAACAAAACAAACAAAAAAATCCACAAAGAAATACGTAATTCACAGTTACCATTTTGGTTTCATAAATTAATACAGTCACACATGTGCTACACCGGTCTAGAGCTAGAACATTGTAAATTGTATTCTTGAAACCTGTTATTTTCAATAGTTGGCTACAAGAAAGAACAGGCAACTTAAATGATGTGATCAGAATTTCACCAACATACTGTTATTTATTCTCTCTGTAATGCTTTTGTCTTCTTTTTTGTCTTATTTCTTCTTTTTGAGTTTCACACAGAAGTGAGGCACACACAGAGTATAGTTCATACATATACAAAAAAATAAAATAAATAAAATTTGGGAGGAGCCGGGGTTCAATTGTCCTTTAATATTGTCGTGTCCATGGAAACAGGAAGTGCATGTAGTCTGAAGTCCTCAGAGGACCTTTCTTACTCTGTTTCTTTCCATCTAAGTACTGTGGCATAAACTTTCAGTTACAAGTTTTGTAGCTTTTTGCAGCTTCTTGCTTGTGGTGGGGTGGGGGGGACACGAGGTTTAAAAACAGACCGACAAGCATAGCAACACAGTGAAGAAATGGGACAAAGACGATATTTGAGGATCAACGCGTAATTTTGACTCACTCAAACGAGCTTCACCCTAAAAGTTCATGACTGTCATATATACCTGTGATAACTACCGTCATGTTTCATCCACCAACAAAAACAAGATTAAATCTGACACCGACACTGCAAGGGCAACTTTTAAGGCACAGAAGCCTTGACATAATAGAGACTCCACCAGCTAAAAGCACTAAACGACAGATGCCCAGTGTCCTCGAAGACAAAAAACAGCGCTGCGATGACGTCTAACATCAGTATGAACAGTTAAAAAAAAAAAAACAAACAGGAAAAAAAACCATTCCCATCCCCGTTGTCCCCAAGAGTCTCATTTTTTAGTGAAAGATAAGGCCACTTAAAAAAAAGATGAGGTTTACCGCAAAAGGTAATCTCTCACTGCAATTTCTGGGAGTGCAATCGTGGTAGGGTGGTCAGTCAGACAGACAGAGAAAAGAGACCAGATGCTTCTCCTGGGTAAGTTTGACAGACGGGTCTTTAAATCCACTGGTCTGTTCCCTGTGGGGATACGTCCACACGAGCCTCGGTAGGCTTTCAGGCTGGGAGGAGGAGGGTTGGCTAAACAGTTAATCGGCTGTCTGGGTCCTCACAAAACACTGGAGGGGTGGAGGGGGGAATTAAAACCAGCATTCAGTGGGTGACAAAGAGTCTCCTTGCTCATCGTCGTCGTCTTCATCGTCACACAACATGAATGGTCAGTGCAGAGCAACAACGTGGGTCAACTTAGCTTCATCCGTTTTGGTTTTTGCGTTGGAACACTTTAGCAGGACACGGTTTTAACATCGAAACTCAAGTCACAAAAAGCCGAACCAGCAAAAGCAGCATTGTTTGTTTTCTTCACAAATTCATGCATGTTGTCAACCTTCATTACCAAAAGCACCAGTTTATTTTTCTTTCATCAATATAAAAAAAGATCATTGTGATTTCACACTTCTGCATGCAAAAAAAAGTCACTTTTTCCTCTCTTGCTTTTGTTTTATCCCCCACCCCCACCCCCCATCATTTTAATTCCCCATATGTAGCAGCAAAACTGTAAAAAAAATAAAAATAAAAGGCCTAACCTGATATGTCAATGGATATACTGGTGCAGGCACTGGATATTGAAGCCAGAAAAATGATGCCACTGCTTTTCCTTTTCTTAGAACTTGTGATAAATAGGAACATCCAAAGGGCCTAAAAGTGGAACTTCTAATTTCTTGTGATAATTATTTGTAGCCAGTGCTTTGAACAGCAGCAACTTTTTTTTTTTTTTACAATGTTGAGAATACAATCTGGGGTTATTATGGGAAAAGACAACTAGACAAAAAAAAAATTGGAATAGTCCAAGTTAAATTGAAAAAACTGTCAAACACACCCTCATAAACATTTGCCAATTGTCACATTTATGTACACAAACTACAAATTCCTCAGCAGCTCCATTCAGGTTTGCACAACATCAGCCAGGCCGGATGACAATTGTCTTACTGTCTCGTTTTGTTGTGGCAAGACGAAACGATTCACAAATGACCTGACAAATGGTTGAATGGATGCACATATTTTTGCTGGCACTCAGTACGTTGACTAAAGCCACAGAGGGCTGCTGTTTTTTGAAAACAGCAGATAGGAAGAGAAACAAAAATAGAGTTTTCTATGATATATTTCAAAGATTTTAAAATCCTCTAAAGCACTTTCTCTTAATATTAATTCATCTTGTTTATTTATTAGTCATTCCTATCGATACCCTATATCACTGAGGTTGATATCAATACTTCAATATTCCTTTTTTTTCTTTATTAGGCCCCTCCTCCTCCTCCTTGCACATTTTGACCAGCTGTTTTAAATCAAGATCATGTGCAAATAAACAACTACTTTGAACTGTTATATGAAAACCTGAATGCTTTGTGAACAATGCTACATATTATTTTGTTTATAAAATATAATATGGTTAAAAGTGGAAAAAAGAAGAAGAAAAAAAACAGGAGTTTAACCACTCAGTAACAGCAAACAAACTGGACTCTAATTGGTTAGTTTTGAGAACAATAAGAATGCCCATTGGTAAATTCCACAGTCTCTGTTGCTCCCGTCTTGTTCAGAAGTCCAGTGTGGATTTCTTCATTTCTGCCCAGAGTGCACTTGAAAAATGTAAAAAATAAGAATAATTCAGAAAAGGAACCACCACCCACCTACTCAATTCTGCTATGCTCAAGTCCAGGTGTGATCTCAGGTATCACACCTTTTAAAAGGGGAAAAGTCTTGGACACTGTGAAGTCCAGTTGTTGCCTGTCCAAATCCAAGCATCACATCAAAGTTCTTTTGCTATTGTTGCTGCTTTTCACAATGTCAGCTGTGAAGGACAGAATGGGATTAAGGTCTGCAGGGAGGCTTCCCCCCCATGTGACAGATAACAGTCACAAGGACAACTTTGATTTCCTCTTTGCGGTTAACCAGTACTCTCCATCCATAATATATCTCCATGTAAAATCCCAAGAAATGCTCCGTACATCTCCAAATCTTGAAACGGGGGTGGGGCAAGTCACACATGATCAAGCCATGACGAATTCAGACTTCAAGTCGGCCTTTACGTCAGGCTTCCACACGGAATCCTCAAAGTCCAGATCCAGGGAGCCCTCGCTGGACATGCTGCTGTTGCTGTTGCTGCGCCCGGCCTTGCGGTTGGGCAGCCACTGATACGGCGCGCGCTGGTCCCGCCTGGCCTTCCTGCGCAGACGCTTTTGCTGCATCAACAGCTGCAGACGCTCCACCTTACAGCGCGTTGCACGGTTTTCAGTCTGACGTAGGCGATCGCCTAGAAAAGGAGAGCAAATTGTTCAATATTTCTCGCCGAGAGTTGGTTTGTTTGTTTACAGGTAAACTAAATTACAAGATGTCAAAGTGTGTGTGGATGTAAGTGGCAGGCTGTATATAAAACGCCACAGGTTCAATAACAATCCTGATACAGCCTCAGATTATTTTCTTGTCATTTTTTTAAAAAAGAAAAGCAAAATACGTACTCCATGCATACAACTTGACATTTTCAGTCTGACGCAGGCGGTCACCTGGAAAAAGAGAGCAGAGAAACTGTCAAATATTTCTCGCTGAGAGTTGCTTTACATGTTTGCAGGTAAACTAAATTACAAGATGTCAACGTGTGCGTGGATGTAGGCTGTAAATAAAACGCTACACGATAATAAAAATGCTGGGACAACCTCAGATTATTTACTTGTCACCTTAAAAAAAAAAAAAAAAGAACAGCAAAACACACGCTCCATGCACACAACTGGACGTTTGGATTTGATCTGATGCCAACTGAGCGTAATTAGTGCCATTTCAGTGCCACTTCATCCCCTGATCACTGACTTGGATTGGGAGATACTCTTAGACCAGAACCTCCTTGGGAACCAACAGCAGGGTCAAAAAGGATTAAAATAAACACACACACACACACACACACACATAAAAGAGGTGGCACATTTTTATGACTGCCTATGACATTTTCTAACACAATTAAGTGTGACATGTCTCAGTGACTGGGTGTGTGTCTAAGTGCATTTCTAGCTGTTGATGTGCCTATCGCAGAGTTTGGTCTCAAGGGACAGGCCTCGCATTGCACTGTGAATGCTCTCCAACACTTGCCAAGTCCAGCCTAATTCCATTTATACATATATTCAGAGGATTGGAAGGAAGGGAAAGCAACCACGATCTATTAGCTAGCTCCATTAGTATCTGTCTGGGAATTAAATAATTAAATAATGGTCTAGAATGTCAATAAACCGAAGCACAATGGCCATCTTTGCTTTCTCTGCCCCTGCTCCACACTAGAACCCACACAAAGGCACTCAAATCTACATGCAACTACATCATGCATCCACACAAGAAGCGCACACACAATGTGTACGGTCGTGCACGCACAAAGACGCAGCTGCACGCGAGCACATGCTCAAAAGGTGTGTGCACGCACACACATACAGTGACAGAACTGAGAGGCGCAGTAGCTTTTAACGTGGATCGATGGCAAATTAAAAAGACCTATTGATTAAACCTTAGCTCTAGTGCAGCCATCCATCTCGGGCCCAGGACAACGCTATTGGCTTTCAATAGAAAATGCAAGCGAATGGAAATTGTAAGCGATGAGAGAGAAAGAAAGTGAGAGAGAGACAGGCTAAAATTGTTTTTCTTCCTTTCTATTTCTTTTTCTTTTTTCATTATGGCTCTAGCGTCCAACTCAGCTCATTGATTCCCCCACCCACCAACCCCTCTTTGTACTATTACACCCTTTTCACCCCTCACACATGCAGAGAAGCCCCCTCGCATACCCCTCCTGATTGCCGATCGTACCCCTCGTCTCCCAAGAGACAGCTAGGTAGGGCCGTGCAAAGAGGGGGAGAGAGGAGGGGTATGGCAATGTGGGTTAAGGAATTCCTCCCCCTGAGGCAATGGAGGGGGGTGGAGAAAAGGATGGAGGAAAAAGGTGGAGGGTAAAGGATCAGCCGTAGGTGTCAGTTTACAGAATCGATTATGGCCTCCTCCAGCCTTCCTCTCCATCGGAATGAATTCCAGACTCGGTGTGGGCTACATTCACCTCTTTCGCTCATTTCCTTATCAAGTTAATCTGTGCAGATCCTTCTCGTAAGCTATAAATAAATATTCACAGCAGTGTGGTAGGGCAAGCTAGAGTAAACCAGCAATAGATTTACGAGGTTAACGGAATTCTTTTTTTTGTTTTTTTTTTTAACATTGAAGTCATTTTCACAAACGGACTGAGGGTTTTTCCATTTCCTGACAATTTGTTAATTCCTGATACAAACGTACATGTGCATCCAGATGTCAGGAGCAATTTGTGTGAGGGCAGTGTGTCATCACTAGAGAACAAAGGAAATATTAGGATGAGGGTGTTGGTGCTGGGGTGGGCTTTCTTACTATACAGCCATGGTTTCTCTGTTTCACCACCATGTATCATTCATACACAATGCCATAAGGTTTAGTTCCCTTTCTGGTCCTTTATTTGCCTCCTTCTTCCCTCATATGAACAGCAAAAAGTGAAAACACCCCTTGACTGGTGTCTACTTCACCAGGGTATTCTCTTATTCATGACCTCAGTTTCCAAAGTGGTACATCTACTCTCATCTCTGCAAACTACAAGAAAAAAAAAAAAAACATATACACATACACATAAAAGGCCAGTTTGGTGGTGCAGCAGGAGGTCTTGGCCTTTGGCTTGGCAATAGTTCTGGGAATGTGCTTGGACCTACACCAAACTTGTGTGTGTTTATGTGTACAAGTGTGAGTGTAGCCATTCATCAGCGTCACTACCGGAGCCCTGGGCGGCTGGGCCGGACACAGCTGGCCACAGGGATCTCCAGACTATGTTTATGACAGTAGGGCTATTATTAGAGCTGAATAAAAAGGACAAGCTTTTCACACAACACATGCACACATACATACACTTCCTGGCTTAGACTGGCTGAATAGAATAGGATTTGATGTTAGCACAATAACCTTGCAGAACCCAGAGAGAGAGATGATTAAGAGATTTAGAGAGTAAATGGTAGGAATACATGGAGAACTCATACTTGTACAGAATCATGATACAAATGACTAATAAGAATGTAACACTTATTCTTTTCTTAGAAACACACAAGGGTAGGTAGCAAAAAAGAAGATGGGTCAAGGGCACATGGAAACAGGAAAGGCCAGTCTCTTCTCCTCTTATCTGTCCACAAGTCACACCAAAATTCCCAAACTTCTTTCTCCCAAAACCCTCTTCTCTAAAGACTTTAAAGCAGGCTTTGTAAAAACACTGGGCATTGTATAGTACCCCCCCCCCCCCCCCCAAAAAAAAAAAAACACAACAAAAAGCAAACATGCATCCGAGTGATCTATGAAGAATCGATGTGTCAGTCAGTTTTCTTCGTCTACGAGTCCAGCCCAGCAACACAGCAAGGACTGAGATAGGGAGCACATGAGAGAGGATGGGGAGGAGGATGGATGGGTGGGAGGAGTGGGTGGATGGAGGAGTAGAGGCAGAGGAAGGAGGGGAAAAAATACGAAGGAGGGCTGCAGTGTGCAGGATGCAGAAGGAGATTAAAGGAGCTTCTCCATCTATTGATTGTATAAAGATTGGCCTTCATTTGCAGTTGTCTTATTGCTGTTGTTTGTTTGTTTGTCTTGATAAGTCGTGTGATCTTGCAAAGAGAACATTGTGTTTTCTCAGCGCCCAGAGAACAGGGGCATAAAGGGGAGGGGTGGACAGAGGCAGACAAAAAAAGAGGCAGGGGGAAAGGGAAAGGAAGAAGGAGAATTACACTGCAGCAAAGCCAGACTTGGTTTTCCTTTATGGTTACTGTCTGACATGCCAAGTTCAAACTTTGCCAAACAATTTATAAAACTGTGTGTATTTTCCAAAGTAAAGTCAGTGAACATGGTGCATGCTTTGCAAAATTGTATACTGTCTAAGTAAACAATGGCTGCAACATATTAAATCAGCTCAAACCCTCTGAATCTCTATGACCAATAAAGCCTTTAGGATCCAATAACTAAGCCCATTGAGACAGATACTAAAACAACCAATTAAAGCAGAGCTAATATTCTGACAGGCAATAAAAGGGCACAAACAACCCTGCAGAGACACAAGGTCTTGAATGAATTTTAGATTTTATTTGCATTCATTCTGCAATGTTCTTCCTCCTTCCTGACAATGACAGGGGACCTAATGGGATTGGCTGAATTTCCTAGATAACTCTATAGCTGCACTGTGTCGCTAGGATCCATATCATGTTAGTGGTTCATGTGTATCCTATCAAGTATTGGATTGTTATGCAAGACAAATTTGGTCTGCATGCTATGCAGGACTTAGTAAGGTTAAAGACAATTGATTATCTTTCAACTCTTCCTCTTTCCTTGGCTCACCCTGTCCCTGCCTTCAGGAAGTTAACATAACCTAAAAAAAAAATCAAAAGGAGACTAAAGCTAGTTAAAGGATATGGAAAAAGACACACGGGCATTGCCACAGATTACCGTCTGATTCAGGCTAATGCAGTTTTAGGTGATCATGAGGCTATATGCGATATGTTCCTTGTTTGGTCTGACAATAGTTCAGCATGATGCTTCATATATAGCCCCCGTCTCCAGCTTCACACAATGGGTTAGACTGTGCAGGGTCTAGTGAGACAAAGTTCTGCAGGGCAGATGGTAGAAAGGTTCATCCTACTCAGTAAAGGAATTTGGCCAACAATCAGTCTGCCAAACCATCCTAAAGCCCTCCCATTCAAATTCAAACAAACACAAGTCCTGGGTTGACAAATCCCCCCAACTCAGCAATATTATTCAGCCAAAGCAGAAAGCTAAGTTAGCTGTATGAGCCTTATGGCTAAATGTACAAGCTTTTTTGCTCAAGTTTCTCTTCTCTACCTCACACATGAGCTTGCCAGGCTCTCAACAAACATCCAACTTTTGTGACATTTTCAAGTGGCTGCTTCAACCTGTTTCACTATCCACACATATTTAAGCAGATGGTAAGTGCAGGTTTATTTTGCAGCTGAATGAAAGTAGGTTACTGTGAAGCTGAGTTAAGCTGTCATGTTAAGTCCAGAAAGTCCTACATCAGGTGTAGACTGATAAGACGGCCTGAGAGTGCTTTGCCATCGGCTATACAAAGAGACGCATACCCTAGTTTAGGTACACCAGTACATGCACTGCCTCATTCTGCTTTACCATACTTAATTGGTTGAGCAGGTTACCAATTAACATGGCTTGCCGCAGAAACATATGGTAAGCAAAAAGTTACAGCAAGGCAGTGAATTGAGAAAAAATAAGTGAAACAAACCCATTATTTCATCCTTTACACCAAGTTTTAAAAAGTGGACTGATGGGCAAAATATAAACACCAGTAGAATGAATGGAGGCTTAGTGTTGTGGTTTTAACAACCCTTGTCTTCCGCTGCCTCCTCCTCTCACTGCTCCAGAGTCCACAAAGTAATTCTTTTTTACAGAGCTGCATTTTAGAATGAATCTATTTAAAGAGCAAATGGACACAGAAAATGTATTGATGCACACCACAGACATGGAGAGAAAGGAGGGGTGATTAGGAGGGGAACAGAGAGATGGATTTTACAGACAAGACAGTTTTTGGACAGCAAATGGGGGGGAAACAGTGGCGTGGGTTGTTGAGTACAGATGAAGAAAGATGGCAAAAGCAGGAGAGGAGGGGAAGGTCGGGGTGAGTGTGTAGGTGGGTGCAGTGAAGGAATGGTCTTCCCTGAGCTAGGAAAATAAGTCTTATGTTATTGCAACTGTTCACTGAATACTTGTGAGTGCACTCAGGGTAATGTAGTGGAATAGTAGTCAAGCTCAGTAAGTCTGTGTTGAGATGTTAAAACTGAAAGGCCTCCTGATGCCTTCAACTGAGGGTGTAGCATCGTGGGAGAGCCAGACTACATCTAAAGTCTATGTTCATTATTTCAAACACAAAGTTCCTTTCCGTTTTCATCAGTTTGCTTACTCAGGATGGGAGATTTTCCTTTTGTTGTGAATTGGTTGGTAAATAAAACTAGATGACCTGAAAGTTCATTCAAATGACACCTATGAAGAACATTCTTACACATGTGGTATATTTATGAGCATGTCATGAAATTTTTTATTTTATTTCCTCAGCAAGATAAGAAGGCAGCATAAGACAATGCAGCCAGTCTAACCTTACAACAGCAACTAAATGTTATCAGTGGACATCTGTTTGATAGCCAGCACCTGTGTTGCTACAAGGAAAAGAGATTTTAAAACTTTAAAGCCTTGTTCTTAAAATTGTATCATCTGAACTTCAACACCTGCCCTCTATGTTAAGGCGTGTCCTGCTCACACACCCCAGGTGAAACTCTTCTTTAGGATGCAGGTTAAATAACTCAAAGCCTAATCTAATCTAATCATAGCTCAGCCCAGGCTTGTAGAGGTAAACCATCTCCTTGACGCACAAAAACAAAAGCCAACTCCACTGACTGACAAGTGAAGCCTGACTCAACAGGCCTGGAAAAAGCTTGAGTTGCATTACCAAGGTGACCCCCATTCTCTGCGCTTTGTGGCATGAAGATGCTTCAAACCATGAGAGAGAAAAATGTAAGACTGTTTTCTCTTCTTCAGTCTGATGTTTATGTTCTTGCTTTGCCAGTATTTTAAGATAAGCACTCAAAAGCAGTGATGTAAAACCATCCCAACAGAACTGCGCTACCCATGATTCTCTATGAGAACAGACACAGAAAGGCAGCGATGACAATACATTTTTCAATTGGTTGCAAAACAAGAGCAGAGCTCTGCGAAAATAATGGGCTTTATTATCATTCAACACATAAATGTGCACATAGATGCATGTGCACACACACACACACACACAAACTCTTCTGAAGCTGTGGCAACTGCAGGAACATCTGCTTAGTGAGGGCATTAGGGCCTAATGTACATGTGGGACTTTCTTTGTTTTCTTGAAATGCTTGCATGAGAAGAAGGTGTGTGGAGTAGTCACTCACCGGGGGGTTTGCACATGCGGATCTGGCTCTGGCACTGCACCAGTGGATGAAGAGTCGGTGGGGGGCTGCTAGGGCTGCCAGCAGGCACAGAGGTAGCTTTGGCAGAGAGACCTGTCATGCCAGCAACTGGAGGCGAAGGGGGCGGTGAGGAAGATGGGGAGGTGGGTGAGCCACACTGGGTCTGGTAGCGGAGCTGGGTGAGGGACGGGGGCATGCCCTGGTAGTGGCGTGTAGCACTCAGGAGGTCGTTGAGGATCTGTAGGATGGTACCGATATCCCGTCTTGGACGCCCATTGCTGTCCTGGCAGTTAGGGTGCAAAGTGCCTGAAAGAAGCAGAAAGACACGTTTGATATTATTTTATACCAAATACAACAACAAAAACTTCCATTGCATTTGATTGAAGCACAGTTAAACCTTAATGGTAGCTTAGTGTCCTCTCACCTGAAAAAGTCCCTGAGAAGACTCCAGGAGCATGGTTGACAAAGCTCTCAATGATGGCACCAGGTTTTCTTGAGCGTGGCAAGGAACTAGTGCCACTACTGGGGCTGCAGTTAGCCTGGAGGAGAGATTTAAACCAGAGACTGAGACTTGGAGGGAAAAAAAAAAGATAATTCATACTAAATATAAACATGCACATATGCTAACATATAATTTGATCTTTCATATGAGTAGCAAGTGACTAATCCTTGCAGTAAAGGCTTGTGGCTGGGAGAAACCTGTGAAAAAAGAAAACCTGACTTTTGCACCACAACATGTGCCAAGACTGAGGATATTAAGTTACTTCAGGCTGTGACTGAACAAATCTAACACCCGTTGTGACTCCACCTCAGTTTAACTGAGATTTGTTAACTGACAAGTGAGAATGAAATTGAAACCCTGCCAAAGACCTTTTTGCACAAGTCCATGCATTTGTGTTGTAGCCTGATGAGAAATAGCTATTTCAAATTTTTTTTAAGAGTTAAGTAGCCTTTTTAACTTTTTTGTCCTCTTGTGAACTATCTGTCCCCCAGTTCAATGACATTTAGGACATTTTCACTTTCCACAGGCTGGACTTAAGGTGGAAAAGATAGGCAGCCCCTTTGGTTGAAGCCGGACACAACTAAGTGGGTTATTGTACCTAAAGATTTTCTAAACTAAAAAGAAAGAAAAAAAATTATAAAATCTAATTTTAAATGAATGCCAACTGAGAAACAAATTATGGTGAACCCTTCAATCTGCTACTTTTCTTTTTTCCAAGCCCCTACAAGTCTGAATAAAAAAAAACTAGCTTACTCTCCAAAAATATGATTATTATACGAGAGAACAATGTATTTGCGAGCATGAAAAACAGGTCAGACAATCATAACACATCCTCTCATTATTTATTTATGAAAAGACAAAAGTCTGGAATCTATTTTATGACTAAAAACCGTATATTATTCCAACAATATGATGAACAAATTATATGATACATGATAATCTACAGACTGAGATTTTGTCTCTTTGAAAATACAAAGGAGTATTCAATAAAGTTGATGTTTTCCTTTTGGCTCTCTTCTGCAGGAGTCACAACAGTGAACAAACTTGCACAAAAGATATGGCAGGTGTTTTGTCGGATGCCTTTCGTGACACAACCTGGGCTCAAACCCGCAGCCTCAGGATTACATGAATGTGGCCGCGACTGTCAAGCTACCACAATCCCAGTAGTACAATAATATTAATAATATTAGTAAAAAATTGTATTTTAAGAATATTTTTATTTTCTTACCTCAGGACAGAGGACCGGAGCTACAGGGCTGACCTGGCCGATGTCGTGGCTGGGTTGGCCTGAGGAGGGCTGGTGGTAGTGGTGGTGATGGTGAGCTGGAGAGCGGAAAAACCCCGCAGGGGTGTGGGAAGGGTGAGGAGATTGGGGTGGAGGAGTAGGGGGGCTACAATGAGCAGGGGAGGGTGACTGGTGGTACATGGGAGGGAGCGACTGGTGGTGGGTTGAGGGCAAGGGGAAAGAAGGGGAGCTCGGGGAAACAGGAGAGGAAGGGACAGCGTGAGGCTGGGCTAGGTGGGGGCTAGGATGATTGTGTGGATGATGGGGGGTGTGGTGGTGGGAGTGCGGGTGAGTGTGGGGAACACGTGGCTGCCCTGTGGGCTGACCCATTGTGGCCTCTGTATTGCCCCGGGTGATGAGGTGCCTGTGCTGGAGCTGGGGACTTCCAGATTGTTGTGCCGCCAACTGGAGCTGGACGAACATCATGTGATCACCGACTCGCAGAGCCAGGGTGAGGGGGGAGCGGCCGGACAGGAAGTCACTGACCTGCAAACACACAATGAGATAGAAGACGTTTGAGTAACTCAACTAATTTGCTTTTATAAAAGTCACAGGTACAGCTTCAACAAAAGGAAAATTATAACTAAAAAAAGGACCTCTAAAATTATTTGTACTTTTGCATTATTATAAGATTGCTACAAAAAGGACAAAGTCTTTATTTAAATATTGACCTCCTTCTTGGTAAATGAAAGCTTTGTACCATGTATGCTAGTACTGGTAGTTAAATTAGACACAGCAGTGCTTGGAGTACACTTCTCAATGAGACCATCAAGCAATCATTCACTATTCTGTAAAAGCAGACTATTTGTTTCTGAATAAAACAACCTATTGGACACCCCCCCCCCCCCCCCCCCACACACACACACACACACACACACACACAGTGTGCACTCATTGCTTGCGTCCAACTGCCTCTGGGTCCGCTCTTAGTCAGCAGTCATTCAGCTTAGAGACAAAGGCCACCCTTCTGTCTGGCTCGTAGCCTGAAAAATCAGTCCCACATTCAGGAAATGCACCCCGCCTGCCTCTCAAACACAGAATAGCCAATTGTCCATGGATCTGCAACGGATCAGGAAGGGCTGCCCATTTTTGGAGTTTTGGTGATGATTAACTAGGACCAAGTGTGGAAGCCTTTACTGAACCATTCACAGCCAGGATGGACACGCACAGATACTCACAGGATAGCTTAGCATTTACAACATAAGAATATTCACACTAAATTTAAAATGTTTTTGTTCACCTTCTGCATGCCTTTGGCTCCAGAGCTATACATTCAAACTTGCCATTGATGTGTGTAGGTGTATTTTGAATAGAAGTCATGGGGTCAGAAAGCTTCATTGGGCCTTGAAGACAGCAGTAATGACATCTTATGTTATCCTCACTTAACTGGCAAATACAAAGTGATGCCTCTATTCTAAAAATAGTTCAATAGCCCCAAATGCATGTGTGCTTCCAAGTCTGAAGAAAAGGAAATAGAAATACAGAAGAAGCAGATAACAGCTATAGAAGGCAGTGAGAAGCACAAAAGATGACGGGAAATGAGAATAATGGTGAATCACACAAGACAAATACTCCTTACAGACTTAGTATATATTTAATGAGTTATTGAAAAATTGGCTCTTGAAACCCTTAAAATCTTACATTACTTCTAAACCGTTGCTTATTTATTTCTCCATCGATTGCTGTCTCTCTGTTGCCAGGGTGACCTTTGGACAAGGGTATTGACACAAAGTGGAGAAGTGAACAGAAAAAAGGAGAGGCAAGTGAAAAGACTGCAGGGTGGGTTGATCTGATGGCCTAAATTCTAAATGTAAACAATCAATCACTAAAGTGGCCACAATTAGCATACAGAAGATTGCAGGAGAAACAGAAACCCGGTGACAAAGTGTTGAAACAGTCCACACCCGCCGAGATTACCACATCATAGCAAGGCAAAAATCCCAGCATGCATAAGGTGCGGCACAAAGTGAGGAGGAGGACAGGGCAAGGCACTGTGAGAGAAGGGTCAAGTAAACTCCATATACAAAAAAGTCGACTGACAGAAAGAAGATTGTGTGTGTGTGCGGGGGGGGGGGGGGGGGGG